TTGTGCACACAGCTTTGAAGCCTGGATTTTAGGTGTTTGTTTGTTGCCATCTTGTTTAAAAAAAAAAAAGAAGGAAATAACATGTAATCAAGGGACCTGACTGAAAACTGTTAAAACGGCCATCAGTAGCTATCACATTACTACAGATTGTTTTGGTGCATTGACGTTGTATTTATTATTTATGTACATTTATGCATTCACCTCATTTCAGAAGTGTTATTTGACTCCAGGGAAGTTATAGATATCGGTAGTCACAAAATGCATCAACCAGCATGACGATCATATCCAAATGTTATTGGGATTTCCAGTGAGTGCAAGAGCTCCTCTGTTCACTTTGAGAACATATTCAGCTGAAAAAGTATGAAAAAAGCATCCAAGGCTACATTTGCATTAAATGTAATACAAATGATCCTACTGAGATATATACATAAACAGGTTTTATCCAGTGTTTTACTGAACGACAGATACAATCAAATTACTGAATGTAATATCAAAATTAGGCATTATTAGGTCAAACTCAGTAGATGTTATATAGAAATTGTCGCCTATAAGCAGGTGTCACAAAAATGTGAGTCGTGTCTGCTACAAGTTGCTAATCTGCCCCCTCCCTCTCTGCTGTGCTTTAGCTCTGCATCGAAAGCTTCTCCTCATCTAAGGGTGTGATCCTTTTGACTTTGACAGGTTGCCTGAATCTGAATGCAAAATATTCCAGCATGAGAAACAAACAAACAAACACACAAATAAATAAATAAATAAATATGCTAAGCCAGCTTTTGGTACCTTTGTCAGTGTGGACAGGAGCCAAGTCCTGCTGGAAACTGAAATCAGCATCTACCTGTACATAAAGCCCCTGAGCAGAAGGAAGCATGAAGTCTCTAAAATGTCCTGCTAGATGCTGTGTTGACTGTGGACTTCAGGAAACCCAGTGGACCAACACCAGCAGAGGACATGGACCCAGACCATCACTACCTGTGACTGGACTTCAATCAACATAGATTCTGGGCCTCTTCACTCTTTCTCCAGACTCTGGGACCCCTTTTTTTCCAAATGACATGAAAAATGTACTTTCATCTGAAAAGAGAACATTGGACCACTGAGCAACAGTCCAGTTCTTTCTCTCCTCAGTCCAGGTGAGACACTTCTGACATCGTCTCTGGTTCAGGAGTGGCTTGAGTTGAGGAATGAGACATTTGTAGCTCATGTCTAGGAGTTAATCTGACGATTAGGGTGTGACACCAGGAGTTTACAATATTGAACCGCTTTACAATATTCTCATTTTCGGAGTCACTGAATTGTGGTTTTTCCATTATCTATAAGCCATTAAAATTACAAGAAATAAATACTTGAAATATTTCACTCTATGTGTAATGAATCTGAAATGACTGACAAGAAAAAAATGAACTTTTTTACGACGTTCCGATTTTTGAAGATGCACCTGCAAACGTGTGACTTTTGAGAACTTCTAAATCTTATGTGCCAGGAACTGTAAAGAAATGCTTCTTTCTGTCATTCCTTTTTTTACCTGAATGGTGACAGTAGGTGATAGAGAATCACATATCCGGGAGACAATCTTGTGTCACTGTGGGACCACCTACCCACTATCCATTATGTCATGGAAAAAAGAACAGATGAAGGCATCTCTGTAACCAGCTTAGCAAACAGCTAATCAACTTTAGTAAATGGAAAAATGGCTATGACTTGGTTAGTTTGACAGAAAATGAACTAAAATGCTGTATGGTAGTAGCAGAGAGTCATCCCCAACACATACTCAAAGTGCTAACAGATCGCCTAAAATCTTTGTTTAAACTTTGGCATGTAAGGCAATGGGTAATGTGCATTCAAGGTATGCTACTTTCATATGAAACTGTTGTGAAACAAAACCCAGTGATGTTTTTTCTATGACCTTATATTAATTTAAATCACTAATGATAAATAATACTTGTAGAACTGTTTAATTTAAAAAGACAAAACACAAGCAAATATATAATTTGTTTAAAAGACAGAACGGTAGTTGATTTAAAGGATTGGCCCCAATTTATCTTCTGTCCTCAAAGTGTGCTGGTGAGTTTAGATTTTTTTTTGTATTTGATTTTTTTTTTAATGTCCTCAAAGTGCTATTAAAAATATTTTTCAACTTAAACTCACAGTTATACTTCTATAATGTTCATTTTTGAGGTTTAGACATGAATAAAAACTTGAAATACCAGTTAAAAAATTCCAAAACTGTCATTAAAATGTAATTTTTTTGTCAGTGAATGGACATAAAAAGTGAAGAGCAAAAAGGAAACACTTTAAACAACGTGCATATAACTTAGACAGCTAATTCCTTCAAATGTTCTGTTATTCCTAGAGGGATGCCCAGTACACTAATTAAATAAGAGTGAATCTGTCCACTGACACTCCAGAGACTTGAGGTTAAAATGTATTGTATTAACTAATTGGAAATTCAATATATGTTTCAGGTGGAGCCAAATGAAGCAAGAAATGTTCTGGAGCCAAGGCTGCATGCACAAAGAACAGCTGTTTAGCATTGTTGCTTTGCAGCAAGAAGCCGGGGAAACTCCTAGCTGGGGCCATTTTGAGTAGAGTTAACATGTTGTCAATGTGCATGTCTGGTTTATTCTTTAAAAGGTCTACACTGAACTACGTGTGTGTGTGTGGCGCGCGTCAAAGAGAGCATGTCTCTATGTGGTGCTTTGATGGCTGGAAACTTGTCCAGGGAGTACCTTAACTCTGGCTCAAAACACCACTAAAGATAGGCACCATCTTTTCATTATTAAAATAAATAAATAAATAAATAAATAAATAAATAAATAAATAAATAAATAAATAAATAAATAAAGGAAATAGCTGGATTTTCTGGATACAGCATTTAGTGGCTAAGAGCAAAAATGCACTTTTAAGACACTTTGGCTTAATTGGCATTATATTTTAAATTTTTGTATACATTTTATATGCAAACAATTAGTTGAATCTATTTGCTAATATTACGAAGAGCTGTCTTTCAATTATGTTTAAAAGAAAAATTAAGTAAGTGCTTTTGTTCCTCAGTGGTGTACACAAAATTGTTCTTGAGTTTGGTTTTAGAACGTCTAAACTTTGTTTTCCCCATGTTTGTTGATTTCAGGTGACTATTTAATACCATCTCCCAAATCTCACCTCTAAGTCTAAGCCCCGCAATGTTTAACTGGCTTTGGACTTTCTCAAAACCATTATCAATCAGTTTTGACTGGCAGAAACATTTTTAACGTGGTGCCAAACAGTAGACTCCCTCTTCCACATTTGTACACTTGGACTGCTTTCCATTTGTCTCAAAGACAGAAGTCAGATCTGAGAAAGACAATACACCCGTGTTCCAGTTGCAAGTCAAAAAAACTGCTGGATTTGCTGAATGTTGTTCACAGTGACTAGGCTAACTACCTTTAGCAATTAATGATTTTAACTAATGTCATTTTGTGTGTATTGTATCATTAGTTCCTTACTTTTCCTACAGCAGAGTTCTGATTACATGTAGAAATAATACACATTACACTGACACATGCTCCGAAGAAAGAAAACCCTACTGAGATGTTTAACAATGAAGTGAAAGTGCCATGAATTGTCATAGTATGAATGAAACCACCACTATTGCTTGGATTGCAAAGTCTTGCAATTAGAAGTATATGTTGATGTTCAACATCAACAAACCCATTGATGTAACAAGAATATAAGCATCAGTGGACCTGGAGGCCTGGAGAAATATCATGTTCATCTCACTGTTGTGAGATACAAAAAAAAAAGAAGAACTCAAAGTAAACTTTAAAATAAGACTCGGAGATTGCAACCTTATGGAAAATATCACACACTTATTTGGATGTGTACAAACAAAAACTTGTGATTCTCACTTAAGATAAAAAAACTAGATATTTTTTTAACTGATATGTCGTTCACACTGATAACTGAAGCTGTAGAAGTGCACCTACAACTGATACTCCTACTTCTTAAACCAGGGATGTCTGTAAATGTTCAACCATCATAGCATCACAATGTTTTTTCGAATGTTCAGATTTTAGAGTGCTACCATTTAAAAAAACAATAAAATGTTTAAAGTGTCAATGGAATGGTGCCATGATATTCTAGAAATTCCATTACCAAAAATTTTAAAGCTTCACATTTAGCTCCCTAGGTACCACTGTCATAGCTAAGAAAAATTACATTTTTATACCAAAGTCCAATTAAAGTCTTTATCAATACACAGCACTAGTAAGATCATCAAGAATAATGACCATAAGCCAAGAACCTGTCAAATGTTTTGAAGCTATTACAAGGACACTTTTTACAGTTTATCTTAAACAGTAAAAGCCTGCTGCATGGCTTCTGCATCTTCTTGCCATGAGGCCAGAGTGATGCAAATGTTGTCAGATGTACCAGTCTACAAGTGTTGGCCAAGTACCTCAATGGGCAACCATGATGATCCCAGAATACTGTGTATGCCAACTACCCATGAATCATGGTAAACTACTTAATTATCATGGGCGCACCTCACTCAAAATCAGACTGAAATATGGCCATGTAAGCATCAACAAAGTTCCAGTTGGTTTACAGATGAGGAAACCATGCAGAAATCTTAAGCTGTTAGTCAAACTTGTGAAGTGGATTGAATAAAAAATTTCTTCCCCGAACCACTTGACGGAGCTCACATATAACCAGTGGCGTACCAACATTTGAAAACCATGGTTATAGAAAGTAAATATTGTCAGACCTGGCAGTAGTTCTAAAAAGGTGAAAGTTAGAAAATAGTCCACCGAGTTCTGCTACTTTTTGCTTCCTCAGTTTTTCTTCTTGTGTTCTGGGCTCAAAGCTACATCAGCCAAACCCCTCATGGCTTCTTGTCCCTGTTATACAATCTTTCTGGCAAGCTTCTCCCTGTGGCATTGCACCGAGTGATCGTGTAAAGTAACCCATATTAGTTATACACTTCCCAGCTAAAAAAAAATGTCAGAGTAGAACGAAGTGCTCCTCAAGATTACGTATTTGCTGGTAACGTTTTAGCTAGTGTTGCTGAGCTAATCTCAAGTCTGGGTGAGGGAATGCACACTGATCCCATCCTGTTGAGCGATGTAGCTTTCGTCACACCCTCACTGCCCACTGTAGACAGGGGGAAGCTTTCATAGCTCTCCCCTGCCCTGTTGCCACACTGGCAGCGCTGCAATGTTGTCCTCAATTCCCGCTGGAAGTTGCTGTTGAGAAAGCCGTATACAACAGGGTTGATGCAGGTAGAAGCCATTGCTGTAAGGTGACAGGCAGAGAAGACAGCATCGTGTTGACAATCAGGTAGGGCCTGGTGGTGCCAGTCAAACAAAGTGTTGAAGACATTCAACGGGAGCCAGCACAGCGCAAAGGCCACAACAATGGCTAACAACATGATGTTAATCCTCTGGGCTCCTCGGGTCCTTCTGCTGCGCTCCAGTATATCCCTGCAGAACACAACATGGAGTCTATTGTCAAACAATTGATCAATTCATGGCTAAATACCATATAAAAGTTTGGGCAGTATTAAACATCAATGTGATCAATTAATAGCACCCATAAAATAAGCACAAACAATATGAAGCAGTGAATAGAAGAAGCTTGCAAAGAGAAAGCTATGAAGTGTGGAAAATTCCAACTTTTTTACCTGCGTCGTCTCAGGCGGAGGAAGATTCTTAGGTAACAGAGAAGGACCAGCACGAGAGGCAGGCAGTACTGGAAGATCAGCAATGAAGTTGTGTAGGCGAGTCGATGTTTGTCAGACGGCCACAGCTCCATACAGATCAAATGGTCTCTTTGACAGGACAAACAAAACTTTATTTTACAAGAACAACAACAAAATGAAAGAGGCTGAAGCAGAACAGCTCAGAATCAAAGTTTCATCCTGCCTCAGCAATGCCAAACCACCACCTTCCAACATCAGTAGAGAGGAGAGGGACGCACTCACCACTCTTAGCAAGGACAAAAACATCATCATTCTCCCAGCAGACAAAGGAAGGTGCACAGTGATTTTGAACCAGAAAGACTATCATGAGTCACAGAAATATGAAATAAATTCACGCTGTCTTGGCAAATTCTGCTTGTGTGTGTGTGTGTGTGTATGTGTGTGTTTGCTTAGGTTCCATTTGGGGACTTGAACCAGTCATTTGGGGATACCTTGGTAATTGGGGACCAAAATCATGGTCTCCAATTAGAAAAGCCTTTATAGGCATTCAGCATAGTTATGCATGTGTGTGTGTGTTCAATCTGTTTTTGGTGTACTGGTAATGAAAATATTTTTATTAGGTTTTTAAAGTGTCTGTGTCTGCATTTAAACATTTTGGTTACAGTTAGTAATCACTACTCAGTAATTATCAAGCTTCAACAGTAAGTTCCAACAACAGACATGAATGGTGATACATTATGCCAGTTTTACTGAAACGTAATTTATGATAATTATACTCTCCTAAGCTAATTAGGTCAGTGGATTATTGTAAACTGGATCACTGACAGGGCAGCACGGTGGCGCGACTGGTAGAGCTGCTGCCTCTCAGCGAGCAGGTCCCTGGTTCAAACCCCGGTCCAGGGGCCTTTCTGGGTGGAGTTTGCATGTTCTCTCCGTGCATGTGTGGGTTTTCTCCGGGTACTCCGGTTTCCTCCCACAGACCAAAAACATGCATGTTAGGCTGATTGGTAACTCTAAATTGTCCCTAGGTGTGAGTGAGAGAGTGAATGGTTGTTTGTCTCGTTTGTCTCTATGTGTCCCTGTGATGGACTTGCGACCTGTCCAGGGTGTACCCCGCCCCTCGCACAGTGATTGCTGGACATGGGCACCAGCGACCCCCGTGACACAAAATGGAATAAGCGGGTAAAGAAAATGGATGGATGGATGGATCACTGACATAAGCCAACACAGTGGGAATGACACAGTTTCCAGCTGTACTGCAGGTAAGTCAAAATTATCAGTATTGTTACTTATTGTCAGTAAGGTATTGCTGTCTCTTTCAGAGCCTCCATGCCAGACATTAGGATCAATAAATGTGTTTTTGTAAAGAAAAGTTAACCCGACTTGTGTCCCCAAACGTATTGCCATCATTGTGAATTAGCTCCTGCACACAGGGTTACATTACTGTAAATAGGAGCCAATAAATATCTCTGCCTGATGAATGTTGGCCGATGTTAGTTGTTTTTTTAACCAGATGAACAAAAATTTTTAGTTTGGGGTTTATATGTTTTAGTTTTTTAGTTATTAGTTTTAGGGTAATATATGTTGCAATTTAGACCTCCTCCCCCAGAATTTATCTTCAGGCATGCAAACTACATAAAATTAGTTAAAACAGTATGCTTATGTAAGAAAACTGAAAGTATACAACTGTCTCAAACATAAATATTTAAATCACTAAAAAAATCAAACAACAAGAAAGAACAAAGAGCAAACTGTCAAGAATGTTGTGTTTGGGTTTTTTTTCTTGCTCATGTTTGCCTTCTGAATATATTTTTAAAACATGCAAAAAGTACAGACAGGAATCACAGAATCTGGTAATATGATTTCTTCTCAGTTATTAACTATTTCAACACACAAATAAAATGTTACTGCAACAAGATAAGGATAAAGTGAGACAAATATGATGTGTGGTATGCCAATGGCCCCAGTCACTGGGGGATTTAGCGTGAATGTTTGTCCTTTTGGAGATAAGTGTTTCTCTGGACTGGAACTGAACAGGGAATTTGAGTAGACCTTAATAATTTTAGTGCAAGGAATTCAAGTGGGTAGGAGTTACACTGTGTACAAGAAGAGAGGTAGTTTTTTTTTTTTTGCTTGTTCAAGGCAGCAGAGTAAAGGATCCTGGTAAGTGAAAGGAGCAATTTTATTAAACACCAGGGATATCACCATTGCCCACCCAGTGGGTGGCAGCTATCTTGGATTTTGATGTGGCAACCCAGTTTAAAAATGAAACTTTTCTTACATCTAGATGTTACCACATACCAAAATGGAAGTCGGTACCTCAGTTACTTTTCAAGTTATCATGCTCAAAACATGAATGGACATTTATGGTGGCAGCCATCTTGGATTTTGACCTGGCAACCTAATCTTCGAAAAGAAACTTTCTTATAACAAGATGTAGCCATACACAAAAATGGAAGTCGGCATCTCATTTGTTTTTAAAGTTATCATGTTCACAATATGCACAGACAGAAGGATGGACAGAGGGTATTTCCAATTCCCTCTCTTGGCTCCGCAATGGGAGACCAAAAAAATAAAAAATAAAATAAAAATCCCACCACAGTAATTTTGGTTTCTAGTGCACAAAATGACATTGGACATGTGAAAAATAGGATTCAATGCCATCATTTCTGAAAAGCTCTGTATCTCCTGTTTACGCTGATCCATCATAACCATGAGTATTTAAAATTTCAGTGTAGTCGAGCCACCTCAGTCTCACCTGAACGGGTTGGCAGGCAGGCTGACGTTCTGGAATGGATCATTGGTGAGGATATTGAAGGAGAGGAAGGGCAGGGAGATAAAGCAGGCAACCAGCCACGTGAGCCCCACAGCCAGATAAGAGTGGCCAGCAGCAGGGGACCAACCAGTGGGATGTAGGATCAGCTGGTGACGCTCCAGAGCAATGAGCACCAAGGAGAAGATAGACACTGTCACAGACATGCACTGAACAAACGGAGTCACCTGGACACAGACAGAACAAGCTTCAGAACTGCATGTAATTCCCAATATACCTCCTTGATGTTTAGGTTTTCAAATGTCTCAACTGCAATAACGCAAACATTTATTACATTATCTAAATTCTCCAATGTGCCAAGTTGTGATTAATATTTTTATCAGGGCAATTAATGCAAGAGTGTGTTACAAGATGTGTAGCGATTTATTTAATGGGAAACTGTTTGTCCACACTTGGTTTTACTTCAGCACATTGCCAGCTAAAGGGACAACTCCTGTCTCATTATCTCATCCTGAAGCTCTGGCTCATGGACAGGCTCCGATTTGCATTTCAGCAATTAAATGATTTCCTGTGATTGGACTTTTAAAGTTTTCCACCTCATCAGTTTGATGGATTTAGTGAGCAGGGAGAACTAATGCTTACCCAATCAATGCCTTGGGCTAACATGGACTAACATCCAAATGGGAGCATTGTAAAAAAAAAAAAAAAAAGATATTCTAATTAGGTGGAGGTTGTTTTTCTCTCCATCTACCCTGGAAGCATACCGGTAATTGCTGAATGACAAATGAGAAACATAATTTTTCTGAACATTCCTGTGCTTAACTTTTAAAACTCTAAAACACATGTTTAATTGTACACTACGTTCCCTGTGTGTTTCTGACATTTACCCAGGGCTATTTCTTTAAGTTTCAAAGTTGTAAATTCTTGTTTTGACTTAGAGGCAATATTCAAATAAAAATCAGTAATCGCTTTGAAGGGTTGGAGTGGTATTTGGAGGGGTTGGGTTTAATGCTCATTAAATCAAGATTGGGGGATCCATAGAGACCTAGCAACTTATTTGTGCTGCTACTTAGGACAGGTTTGAAACATTTGTCTAAACTTCATCCATATATAAGTTTATCTAAGGCCTCCTTTATGACACTGTTACGGCCAGTGGCCTTGTATGTTCTGTTGTTTTTTCTTTTAAAAACACTTCTGTATAGTTGCAGCTTCCTGCCTGCTGGCTGCACTGTGGGAACTGGATGCAGCCCTCCTCCTGGGGTGGGGGGTCCGTGTGTCTTTTCGACCTTTTGATCGCTGTTATTTTGACCAATTAGTGCCGTTGTTTTGATACATGATGTATTACACATCAAACATGTCACTCGTTTTTTACCGTTATTATGTCTGAAATGTTATGCACTGTAATGTATGCAGGAGTTGTACGCACGTCCTGCAGAGCTGTGTGGAGACGCTGTGCGTAAAACAACTGTCTCAGTGCGCACAGCTGGAGGAGGATGAAGACGCTCCCCGTGGGACATGCAGTCTGTGTCTCTGCTGGCAGGAGCGTGGCGCGGCCAGATCATCCACTCGTTGTACTTTTAATAAATAATCAAAATAAAAATGTGCAATGACTTTGGACTTTTAGAGGCGGAGTTGGCGGATCCGAGCGGTCAAAATTTTAGATTTCCAGGATCTTGTTCTGCCAGGATCCGGCTCAAATGAACCACTGTCTGAATATAAAAAACAAGAGCTGTTCGTAACGTATAATACGTGTAGAACGGGATGTGAGCCGGGGCTTGAGCATCTTAAATACACTGAATCTCGCCAAATGTTTGAAACTCCGCCTGTCAACTCGAAGCAGTCAGCTGACTCGGTCTGAATGAAGCAGTGAAGTGGTTCACATGTCATAGGTGACGTCACATGAAGCAAGCTCTGCTTCACCATAACTACCCTGTCGACTTTGAAGCGTGCTTTGAAGCTTCGGTGTTAGAGGTAACTTCACTAGCTACTAGAGTGTTGTTTGTAGCTATAAAGTGAACTGTGTTTAGTTTGTTCCTTTTCTTTGTCTTTGTTGGGTTTTGTACTACTTTTGGTTTGTTGCCTCTTGGTTTGTTTGACCTCAAGTTTTTGGGCAAGTTTGGTTTAGAAAAGAGCTTTGGGCTATAGCTCTTAATTGAATACCTCTATTTTTGTTTTGTGGATTTTTGTTTCAAATTCTGGAGTTTTCAGTTTGAGATTTGGTTGACTTGTGATTTATTGTTCATTTTTATTTATTTTATTTTACAAAACTGGACAATAAACACTGAACTGTTTAACCCTTTAAAATCTGGGTTTTAATGTTACTGCTCCTTCCCCCTGGCTGAGCCGGTCGTAACAACACTTTGTCAACGATAGCATTGCTGTGGCATAAACAACTGACCACAACATAGATGGTTTTTGCGAGATCTTCAGGTGCATATGTGGAAGTGATAGATTCACAATGGTTTGAGCATGTACAAATATTTGGTACTGAGGTCTAGTAGTTTATTACTGTGGTGCAAGCATTCTGGGGTCCTGGGTGGAGTGTGGTGACAAAGTATCCATGAAGTGGGGCCTGGGTACACTGGCCATGGTTTGCTTACTGAGACTTTGGAGAAGCATTAGTTAAAAAATTAAACAACTCAAACTGACAGCTGGCAAAATTTAATTGGACAATCATATTTTTGATTTCACATGGTTTACACAGTCTTGCAATCTGGCTCTTTTTCTCTTTGAGAGTAGAAAAATTAATACTCAAATTTCCATGGGTATATCCATGGCAATGTTAGGACATACCAAAAAACTCTTGAATAGACATGGTCTTCACAAATAGGCATGTTATTTTTATAACCCTGGTAGACATTATGACTCCAAGTAAAGTATTTTAGTCTCAAATTTTGACTTCTCCAAAAGAAAGTTTGGTCACATGGGTCACAGGCCTAGACTATGACTGTAATTGTGTTAAGGTCATGGAAACGACCCAGAGTAGACATGATACCTGTAGTGGTTGCATCATGCTAGTGTGGTGCCAACTTCTAGTGCAAAGCTACATCCTAACAGGGTCAGGAAGAGTTTATAATCAGAGTGGGTGTTTACAACTTGGTAATGGGGAAATATCAGGAAAAATCATATTTGTAGCATCATCATCAATGCCTTTTCATTAGCAAAGGTTGTCCAAATTTGCCACATTTCAATAGGGTCCTAGGTTGTGGAGAGCATAGTGGGGTAGTTGTCCTGTGAAAACAGCGGCCATGTTCCTTTATAAACATTTATTCACATGACTTATAGTATAGTAGCTGTTTTGTGTTTTACAATAAACAGTCAATTCAGCTGCTATAATCCATCTTCACAGTAAACGTGTGACACACTGACCTTACACAGGGCCTCTCCCAGCACCCAGCGGTCCATTAGTGTATAGATTACAGTAACCGGTAGACACACCACACACATCAGGATATCAGAGCATGACAGGTTGGCGATAAGGATGTTGGTGACATTGCGCAACTCCTGCTGCCGGGTGATGATGAATACAAGACCTGCATTGCCCAGCAACCCAATTGCTATGACAGCACTATATGCCACTATCAGGAAAGTTGCTCCACCAACTGATTGTGGGCATTGAGATGTTTCTGACCAGTCAGAGCCCTCCCAGGCTCTGTGGATGGTGCTGTCGTTGGACATAGCAGGGAGGGGTGGGAGGAAGGTGAGGGAAATGGAAGATGGGGGTTAGGGGGGTTCAATAGGACCAGAGCCCTGGGGCTGTGGCTGAACTTTTACGAAGACCTAAAGTGTGTGTGAGATCAGAGCAGAACTGACAGGATGAGGGACAAAAAGGAAACTGTGATAAAGCGTGTGGGTTGTGAGCTGGGTTAAGTGATGTGTTCTGAAGAATTTCATGGGTAAACTGCAGGATTGTGTCTGACGGGTGCAGGGATTCAGTTATAGAAGTTGTCCTGCTTTTTGTTTTTCTGCTGGCATCCCAGTGGATCAGTTCAGCATCAGCTTTTCCCTGCAAAGGACAGAAAACAGAATAGTGAGTAAGGCACTTTGAGGTGAACAAAGGTAAAGTGGAGCTGTGCAGGCAAATGATTGAATATATTAGCTCATGCTGTTCTTATGTTTTACCTCTTTTCTTATTCTCTCTGCATCACTGCTTTCCAACACCCCGCAGATACTCATTAACATACTGTATTGTTGAATTAACGGCACATTATGCAGTCTAGTTCACCAGGGAAACACTCAGCATTTGTTGATGAGGCAAGAAAGACTTCAGCTCTATGTGCGCCTGTTTAAATATCACAGTGTTGGCCTTTTAGAGAAAATCTAAAAGAACTCCTCAAAAATGTTCATTTCAAAGCTGCTGAACAGTCTGATGGACAGACACCAATATGAAAATGAAAGACAATTAAAAAAACAGAAACAAGGAGCACTTCAATCCTTAAATGTCATGGATTATCGTGTTGTTTTTAACCATTACAAGTTTATGTGCAGAAAATTACTATTAACCAGTTGTATTTTGAGTGGTTTGCAGAACAAGAACATAATAAATTGCCTGTGGCAGTGTTTTCTTGTATACCGAAGAAAAGTTTTAAGTGAATCTCTAAACCTGTGTATAGCTCAGAGGGCTTTAAATTTAACGTTTGGAAAATTAGACATAAATCTAACTGAGGTTGTTTTGTTTTTTTGTAATGCTATGGTCTCAATTAGTGGGGGACTGCGGTATCTTGGTGGTCAGTGCCACGGTCTTGAAATCCCGAGGTTGTGGGCTCAAGCCCAGGTTGTGTCAGGAAGGGCATCCTGTGCAAAACAATTGCCAAATTTTTCATGCGAGGTCGCTCACTGACACACAGCTGAAAGAAACCTTTACTGTCTCAGTCATTGTCCTCAGTGAAGTCAGTCTTACAAGCCGTGACGAGGACACTTAAAACTGCTGTTCCAACTGTCATGCATGGTGGTGGTAACAAAATTATGTGGTACCGGTAATGCATGAAGTGAATGGAATAAGGAACTACTTACAAATTCTTCAATTGCACCTCAAACCAACAGCTCGACTGTCGAAACCTCACACAGTTGGATGTTCTAACAGGACAATGATCCCAAACACGCATCAGAACGGGTTTCAAAAGGAGGAAATCAGGCCAACAACAAGCTTCTGCGATGGCTTTTTTAAAGCTTCTACCTAAAGTCTATTGAACATTTGTAAATAATGCCTAAAAGCCATGTTAGTGCTGAGAAGCCTGCCAATTTAGTTGAACTATTTCAATTGAGCCAAGAAAAGTGGTCAAAGTTTCAAGCAGAAACGCACCTGTTATTGATGACTACAAAAATGTGTGCGGTCAAGTTGCAACATGCTAAGGAACATTTGACCAAATTCTTTTTGATTATTTTGTATAATCTGGACTGTGCATGGGTTAGATAAATATACAGTAAGGCCAAACTGCTCCACCCAATTCTTGGTTAAAATTTTTTTTTGTCAGTTTTGTTTTGTTGACAATTAAATTTTTCTCTTCCACTTACATTTTCTTCCACAAAACTACTAATATGAAATTAACTAGATACTAAGCTTACATTCAATGCTGAGTCACCGTCTCATTAACATAAAGGTAGAAGAGTGTTGCCAACAGTCTGACAGAAACTCATAAATGCTCTAGAACACAAATGTATTTTTCTTGTGCAGATAAAATTAAAAATAATTTCATAACATTTTGTAAAACGTCTAAGAAAGGGATGAATAATGATAGGAGACCACACAGGGAGGCTGAAGGGGATCTAGAGTGGAGCCGCCTAAATCCCAAGTCCTACACCTTAGGAAAATACTAAAACACGTAGAACACATGAATTAATTCTTCAACTAAAATATTTGATTGTAAAATCATAATCAGTATCTATCAGTACAAAAATAATTTAAATTGAAGTGGTCCTGGAAAACACACTTGCTTATGAACTGAGATCTTACAGATTTTTTACAACCAGAATGTTCAGACCGTGCTGCACTGTGAAGCTTTTATCTCCATACTGTATGCTGACTGTGCAGAAAGCCTTATTCAAGTCACTCACCTTGAGTTATGCAAATTATAAGTTCAAAATGAAAGCTTTTTAAGTTGCATGGGTGCACATTTGTTTTCGTTCATGCTGCCTGATGTGAAATTTATGTCTATCTGCACTTTTCCATTTACATCTTATAAGTAATAACAGCAATTCTCTGTGTACGGTCTGAAAACTTCAATTGTGTGAAAAGTGTTTTTGCTTTCTGTACAATTAAGCAGTAGTCATTTGTTAAAAGCTGCATATACAGTAACTATTCAGTTTTTTCCAAACTTGACAATAGTATTGACATATTGTTTAGCAGATAAAAACATCCTGGATCATTCAGTTGCAGGGATTTTGCAACACTGACAAGAACAGACAACTATGAGATGGACTTTTACTTGTTCACCTCTGCAGGTTCAACCGTTTCAATAAAGGAAGAGTAAAAGCTGATTTCCATACAAAGTGAATTTTGTCAGAGGCCAAGGAAAGATTAAAAAGGTATTTGTTGCAGATGTTTCTGCTTGTTTTCCTTTTTAAAAATCCATTCAATCTTTTCTTTAGCACTGATGTTTTTCTTCTTACTATTTTTTATTTTATCTCTTAGCACATTCACTGACTCAAAAAAAAGAAAGAAAGAAAGAACACCTAAATAAACGGTCCATTATGAAAATAATTAGGTATAGATGCAGATCAGCAATGAGTATGTTCATGATTTGATTTGCATGAAGCTGGTACATTTGATCACAGGTGTGGTGGCGTCCTGAGTGGAGAGATAATGCAGATGCTGACAGAGAAGCTGGAGTGTCGACAGTCAGTAAAGGTCAGCGAACGCCCCATGAACACATTAGACAACATTGCTAGCACTTGAAACTAGAGATCACATTGCGATGGCCCAAAGATTTAATAAAAAAAACAAAAACAAAACAGTAATCAATTATTGACAACAACAAAAAAAAAGCTTCTATTTTGGTCAATTTTGTTTAGAAAAGAAAATAACCTCATATTTTCCAAGAGTATATCAGCAAATTCCAGGTGCTCCTGAACATTACATGAAAACACCTCTCTTTAGGTTTCCTCTCCTACATGAAAACACCTCTCTTTAGGTTTCCTCTCCAACACTTATTTGTGACACACATTCCCTTTGAGACTTTCGACTCTGAGTGAACTGCTTCATTAAAATGCAGTTAGTTAACAGCCGTCCTTTCTGGTACATTTGCTGCATCTCCTCCTGCTGGCACTACGTCCCTCTGCTGATTGCTGATTGCTACATCCATCAAATCATCACTCATAAACATAAATACACACACATGCATGTGGAAACAATCATTGGATGTAACCACCGTTTGTGCTGCCATCTTACATGTCTGCAGAGCTCCATCTGTCTCTCTTATCCTGAATTTTCTTTTTCTTCTGACAGTCGTTATGGGCTCAGAGAAATTGAGCTGCCAGCAAATGAGACACACTGACAGGTGTTACTGCACCTCCGCGCTGACTCACTTGCATCCACCCGCTTGTGAAAACACACAAAAACGGTGCTGCCCGCTGCTCTGCTGCTCTACCTCTCATAAACAAATGTATGCCTTCGTTAAGATGGTTGTTTACTTAAATGAACTGATTTTAGCAAGAAAAAACACATTTAGCAAGTTAAATCTTACTTTTACGAAGCTACAAATAGAATGGAGGTATCACATCTCAACATGTAAAGCACCACAATTTTATTTTTAGAAGATTTTATTTGCCTCCACAAAGATGTGATTTTATTCAAAAGTTACACCAAAAGAGTAACAGGCTCAAGACCTTGATAAATCAGAATATACAGTATAAGTACATGATTATACTTTTTTTAAAAGTCTGCACTAAAATGTATTGTTTGCCTGTATTTACAACGTGAGAACAGCAAATGCAAAAATAGCACTCCTGAAAGAAATGTGTATTACTCAGCACACTGAATGGCCAAAATGTAGACAAAGAACTATGTAATTTGTTTGTGCTCCTATATGCGTTAGAGACAACTCTCAGATACTGCTTCACCACATGACTGAGCTTTAGCCATTTTTGTGTTGGATAGTTGAAGCTGTGGCAGCCAACTTGATTTTTGAGTCAACTTGATAGTTTTTTTTAATTGATTTATAATTAATAGTTACCAAGAATTTCATGTGCCTGTTTAGTAATTCATGCAATATTTTGCTACATGTACATGCACAGTCAGTTACATGCACGCCTGCCTTTTACAGTGATGGGTGATAAAAGCAGTCCAGAAAAGCATACATAAACTTTCCCTTGTTATTGTTTTTTTATTTTTCCTGGCGAAATGCAATTTAAGGGTGACACAGTGGCACAACTGGTAGAGCTGCCACCTCTCAGCAGGAAGGTTGCCAGTTCAAATCCCGGCCCAGAACACTTCTGGGTGGAATTTGCATGTTTTCTCCATGCCTGCATGGGTTTTCTCTGGTTTCCTCCCACAGAGCATGCATGTTTGGCTGACTGGTAACTCTAAATTGTCCCGAGGTGTTTGTATATATATATATATATATATATATATATATATATATAT